GTTGTGATTCAGTGGTAAGATTCGACGTTCGACGACTCGATTCGACGTATGCGATTCCTCACTTATGCTTCACAGCTCACCACCAGTCCTCCGCCGTACTGCACCATTACTAACTTTACCTGCTCATAAGTTGCTTGTGTTGCAGTTTTGCTATCTATATTTGTAAATAACCTTATAGACTCTATCGATCTACCCAGGTCTCCATTCAAAGTTCCATGGTAAGCTGGCGGACTTCCCTGGTAAGAAACAACCAAAGGTCTCACAAGACCAAACCTGATCACTGCCGAATGGATTTACAATTCGTAGAATGATCCCAGCAACAAGAGCACAAAAGAATGACCGCCACATAGTCTTCAGTGGAAAATAATAGGACGCCTCTTCCAAGCTATAAGCAACCTTGCAAAATAAAAATCATTCGTCATAATCAAGAAGCAACTTTACCTGAATAAAACACCACCAATAGGAGCACCGAACGCTACGCTTACACCAGCTGCCGCGGATGCACTTAGAATCTCCCTTTTCTTGGCCTCATTCATTCCGTATTTCGGGAAGAGGTATGAGAAAATGTTGCCAATACAACACGCCAGATGCACCATAGGGACCTTCTTTACCCAGTGACAGACCTGAACGTAATAATGAACTCATTTAGTAAGAAATTTTCCGAAACGTGCGTCTAGTCAAGAACAGTTGAGAAGCTCAAAGAAGTCAATTATAACTGTGAAAATATCACTGAAAAAAGATGTCATTAAATAAAATTATAAAGCGGCGAAATTTTCAATAAATCCTCCGTGGTGGAGCGGTCTCGGCGAGGTCAAGAGTGCCAGTGTATGGAACTCCATTCAGCAGTGTATATGTCTGAGACGGCGAAACTGTGAGAAACTAATGTAAGTGGAATGTATAGAGAATTATGTGTGTAACATAAGTGTAAATTACGTCCGCGGTAAGGCAGCGTTCATACTTTGCGGCAGCCTCTACCAGCGACCACAATCATTTCGAGCGTCCGCAAACGCCAACCATAGGAAAGTATAGATAGCGACCTAGCGAACGGCAGCGTCCACCAGCGTCCATGAGTGGAGAGTATGGGGAAATAGGAGGGTAGCAGACTGCTGGAAGAGCATAAGGAAGTAGGAAGGAGCAGACGGCTGGATGGCGTAGTGATATTGCGGCCTGTGCAACCGCACCGGCACAGGAGGAAAAAGACACTTTGGCCGAGACCATATCAGTAAAGTTTTCGCAGCAGACAGAAGATGTGGATACGAGTACCAGGGCGGAAGACCCGAGATGTTCTTCGATAAGTAGTAGCAGGCTCTCGCCCATCACCTCATGCACATATGAGGTTATCTCCAGTCGCAGCCTGACTCGAGAAGGAATATGGAACTTATGTCACCCTCAAACAGCTGCAAAACTTCTTGTAGGCTCCGGTCCAGGATATCATCTTCACCGCAGTCGCCAAGGCGCGGGTTGATGGTATGGACCGGAAGTTCCTGGAATGGGAAGACCGATATTTCTTCGTGGACCCCGACTGAAAGTGAACGCTGACGGTTACATCGACCAACTCGAGGAGAATATCCTGCCTTCATGTCGTCGCCTGTACCATCTTGGAAACTTCGTACTGCTACAGGATTGGGTGCCACCACATGGAATCGAAAGGCGTTGCAGCAGTGTGAAATTGCGACGTGTGCACTGCACCGTACTACTACTACACAGACCGTACATTAGGTTGCGTAATTCTGTACTTTCGCAGTTGTGTGGTGCGGCTGCACACCCAAAATTTCACGAACAGCTGCCTGCTCCCTCCTGCTCCCAAATACCCACTCCTGGACACGATGGACGCCCGTAGACGCTAGTGAATGCTGCCACAAAGTATGAACGCAGCCTGAAAGGGGGCGTAGATTTTTGCGGTGGGGCTTCCACTATGTGCATGTGATAGTGCAGTGGGTGATTCGCGCAAGAATGCAAAGAAATCGCTCTGCAAAAGAATCAAAGTTCATACCTGAGGCAGATGCCAGAATCAACCCAACAGATTTTATGATGAAAGTCCATTTTCCCAGGTAACCACGGATAACAAAGCCAGATAGAATACATTTGATCTCTGGTATACCAGAACCACATGCATATGGTGCGAACACCTATAGCACATTTGAAAGATCTATGAACGAACAAATAATGCTGGGATACCTTCACGAAAACAACGGCCAACGTGGCCATAAGAACAGCCCAGCCAACGTAGAAGACGAATTCGAATGTTCTCCTCGAGTTGGTCTATGTAACCGTCAGCGTTCATTTCCAGTCCGGGGTCCACGAAGAAATATCGGTCTTCCATTCCAGGAACTTCCGGTCCATACCATCAATCCGCGCCTTGGGGACTGCGGTGAAGATGATATCCTGGACCGGAGCCTACAAGAAGTTTTGCAGCTGTTTGAGGGTGACATAAGTTCCATAGGCCTTCTCGAGTCAGGCTGCGACTGGAGATAACCTCATATGTGCAGGTGATGGGCGAGAGCCTGCTACTACTTATCGA